GCCGTCAGCGTACTACATATTCATGAGATCATATGCAAATTAGCATGAGGTCAGCAATTCACTCAAATACGCGTTCAACAACAAATCTAACAGTAATATTTCATAACCAAACACTTCCATCATAAAATATCATATCATAATCTAGATCACAGAGATAAATGTTCTTTATACCCAAATGCTTGATAACAAATGTTACAGGCAAACCGTAGCTGTCAAAATGGCCGCCTCTACACCGAATCACATGTTCAAAATCAATCTGGCTGTTATACATAAAATAATCATGATTATCAATGAATGAACAATACAATCATAGTCTTAAAAACTTACAGTTATCGTTTACTTGTCAAAAAACATCAGGTTAGCATGGGCGACAGCAAATAAAAACAATTCGACTAGCTGCTCGAAACGCAAGTCCTACATTAACGTTAACGTTCGTTTCAGTATGCTGTGTCTTATAGTCGTTGGTGGCGCTATACCATAAAACATTCCGCAAGATTTACGATAAATTTTACACATTGACGTCATATTCACGCCAACATACTCCCCAGAGTTCAACGCAGCTGAATTTTGTTTTAACAAAATAGAAAGGTGTATAGAGTGATCACCGTTGTCTTTAATCAGCTCTGAAAATTTTCCGTATTCTATATACTCTGCCGTTGAGGAAATTACACCAGTAGAAACTAGAAACATTCTTCAGTGCAGGATATCTGTTCGTTTAGCGTTTAGCTCAGAAACTGTACAAAACGGCCCTTTTTATGGCCACCACATCCTCGAGAAAGAGATACACCGTGTTAGATTAAATGATGGTTGTCGTTTATTTAGGCTTGCCAACGCTCACGCCGGCGAACAGTATAAAAAGCACTTTTGGACATACCTGAAGTAACATGGTAAACATTACGGTGAGGTACTATGGTGTAGTTAAATAGTCAAACGTAATAGAGAAATATGAAATAAAGTAACGTCGCCGACCTTGTGGTTTGGTTCTTTACACCAAAATACACAATCTAAATGATGTATAGATATATTGGTATTGATAAATATTCATACACAGTAATGCCAGGGAAGAACTTTGGGGTAGAACACGCACACCTATAACAAACTTGCACACATTTAAAGAAACACGAGTTTATGTGGTCAACGTAATATTTAATAATCTAAAATTATATTTGTAATGCACATCATAATATTTGACCAAAGATTAAAGCAATAATTACATTAATAATTAAATGGAAATAACCACGGTTAATGCCCCAAACAACTAATATAGGTAAATAACGTTTTACACTGTCACTTATAGATTCTTAACATCAATTTACAATGAAAAGTAAAGAGCACGTGCGTAACGTAGTAATAACGACGTCAACGACTACTGATCTTTACTAGTTGACCCAGTTCCATACGACGTTCCTTGCATCACACGATTTAAAGCGGGGGGGTCGTCACCTACGCATGAGCCTTAGCGTTCTTAACGTGTGTTGTTATCATCAACTAGGACTCAATTCCCGCGCGTGCAGGTGACGACCCTCCCGCTTTAATGTCTCGATGCTGGTTTGACAATCTTCTAGGATTTTTGTCCAGATAACGGTTTAATTAATAAGTTACAACGCAGCTATGGAGACTCGGCGACTTCACCACGTAGGATACTACAACAAACATCACAATTGCGTGAAATTAGTCAGATCGAAACGTGTCCCACTGTCGGCGACAGGCTTTGTAAACGGTTATGTTTTGGTTAGTAGAGTAGACATTTATGATAAACAAATACATTGTTGCAAACATAACGCCCAACCGTCCACTGCACTTAATATAAATAAGTGACGGTAAATGTTGTACTGTACGACGCACATTTGTGTTAGACTAGTTTATAGAGGGGCATAGCTCTTCTGTGTCGATAAAAATGTATAAAAATAAAAATGGGATGACACCAACTAAAAAACCACCACAAAGACTAAACGCCGACACAAAAATAGCAACGGATCCAGGGGCGGACACAGGATTGTTTATGGGGTCCAAACATTAAAATCGCCAGACTAAGTTAATGATTTTTTTATATTATACAAAAACAAATTGAATACATTTTTCAACGGGCGGGGGGCACCAAGAACCCCCCCCCCCGATCCGCCACTGAATGGATCCATAGCTAAATCAAACTGTTAAAACATGTGTGGTGTTTTACCTTGATAGTTTTATAAACCTATTTTTTTATAAACACATCCTGCGCCATTTTGTGTTCCCCCTTGCGTAGCTGTATGTCACACGGTGGTCGGGCATACTGCCCGAGTACTGGTTTATGTCATTCAAAGTCCACGATTCTTAAGGCGCGGTGGTCGCCGCGCTGCGCATGTGTGACATTTGTGTTGATAAACATTGATTTTCCCACAATCTAATGCGCTCTTCAAATGGAAATCACAAATACTAGTATCAGGTTTCACCTTGGCGCGACTAGCACTAAATACCGCCGGTGACTCCTTCAATACCTTCCAATCACCTAAAAATTATCTAATTAAAGCTTAGAAATGTCTCAGTTTGTACTCATTGATCTGCGCAACAATCAAAGTCGCCATCTTTGTTTATATGAGACCCATTTATCTCGAGCATGCGTGGAGCGACGACTACCGCCCTTTAAAATAGCGCAAGCGCAGATCAAATCTTTCAAAGCGCTTAGCCGAGCACGCTGGCGAATTGACAGCCATGCGAAATCGCTACAAAATCCTGGTATGGCAAACAGGTAATTTAACGAATGATGCTGCATATCTTGTCCCACTAAGCGGTTCTTGTCATGAATCGGTAAATCCGGGAGAAAGGGATCCGGATGGAGGTAGATTTGGTTATCAAGTAACACATGAATATGTCTACCTGTAATGTTTGAATCTGATTGGCTGTTATGGTCATGAGGTATAATAATGTAGTGTCAATCATAATTCATAAGTCATACATTTACTGACAACCTTTAAATGCTACCGTGAAATGTTCTACCCTTAATAAACGATCCTTTTTTTTTTTTTTTTTTTATTGTCGAGAGACCGCCATAAAAACATATTGTATTAACATCGTCATCTTTTGTGACGGCTTTTCGAAGATGCAGAAATTACCCAAAATAAAAACCATATTATGCATTTAGATTCACGCACTCTGTATCATCACAAAAAATAATTTGTTTATTTGACTTTTCACAGTTTAGAATCGCCGAATAGACGAACGTCTTCTTTCTGTATACATTAAACGATTTACAGCCGGTTTTGTAGAATAATCAGTCAAATTATAATAAAGGGATCCACAATAACCTGGTCTTAAAATATCGGTGTTATTTTCGTGATATGACTAATGGAATTATCATGCACCACCAACATTTAAGTGTACAATACGCTTAACAAAGTGTTCCACGGTATTGTTTTGGAAAGTGTGAATTACTTACTCCGTACTACCAATAATATAACAAAGGAAATGTTCCACTGAAAAAGTGCAAGAATGCATATACAAATATGCCAACTGCTGAAAATATACCACTGGAACACGACAATGTGAATTACAATATTTTTAATAAACTATAAGTTAAATTAATTGATAATTAAACGGGCATTCATTAATTAAAAGGAAAATAAGTAACGTCATGCTATCGTGGGAAGTATATATATATATATTACTGTACAGGTAACAATAATTATGAGTTAAATTATGTCAGGATAGTTCCGTCACGCTGACATCATTACGAACTACCAGCCGTATGTGTATTGCCTTTCTTATGAGAATATCAATCGCGCATGATCACGAAAGCTATTTATTCAAACACAGCACAGTCAGCTCACTAATTCACAGCACAATGTTGTAAATAATTCATGGACCCGCATTAGAACTTTGGAATTAATGTCGCTAAAATTAGCTAATTCTCTATTGTTTTACCAGCTGTTTCACATTTTCTGACAGTTGTTGGTAATCAAACATTGTAAATATTATTCAAAATATATTGTACTTATCGACAATGTTCACCATGGACAGCTGTCACTATAGAATTAAAAAAATAAAAAATGGATACAATATACATAACACGACTTTGACTTGACGGAACCGACGGCGGATTTTCTTACGGACACAGCTTCCTACAAAGAGGACACCTGGTCACACACCCTGTCTCATCCGTGAGTACATGACGTCTCTGTCAGCCCCCACAGAATCCGTATTTGTATTTTCAAGTTTAAGTATTGTTCTGAGTAGTGATGTACCAACTAATTTCTTTACTTGCACCTCTGAAAATAGAGAAGGGTTGTCAGATAAGTTCTAACAGGAAGTTGCCTATTTTTCAGTAGTCATGTTTTGTCTCAAAAAAGAGCCATTATTACTTTCCAAGTTGAATGACAGAGTGTGAATGCACGTCCCAGCTTGTGTGGTAATCAAATTGTCCACGGAAGTTTTAGACGAATCCAAACTAATATAATATAGTATTATTTCAACAAGTACAGTGAAATAGTTAAATTTAAATCTACATAGTTCTTATCATGTGCGTGTTCACGGGAAATGCACAAATTATTTTGGATGTTTTCTGTTCTGACAATCTCTTTCCGTTTTAATTAAACAGTGTGTTAAGTGGGTATGATAATATACCCCGATTTTGGACCTAAGTAGCGTAAGCAGTTCCGAGCTGGGCTGCTATTTTTGTTGTTGTAATGTGTATTGTGGACCGGTGTGTAATTTATATAACTGATGGTCCTATGATTATTAGTTATTAAATTGGTATCATTTATTTGTCATATTCTGGTTGCATTCTATTGATTGTCCTTCAGTGTTGCGTCATGGAGTCACTGTGCGGGACATTGGCGACCAGGTTCGTATTCCAGTTCAGCAGTAATTTGTTGTGAAATCTTATTTTATTTGTAAACAGGCATTTATTTTATTTTTTACAGATATTTAAAAATGAGCAGCGAGTCACAGATTAGACCACGGACGAGTTATTTCCACAGTGCGTCAGCTGAGCCCTTCAGTGGTAAGACCATATTGGAATTACAAGATGAGGTCGCAAAACAATTTCCGAGAAGGGATGCTCTTGTATTCTGCGAGAGCGGAGTGCGAATTTCTTTTAGACAATATATAGATGATACAAAACAACTTGCATGTGATTTGGTTAAGCTTGGTCTGAAACCTGGTGAGCGAGTTTGTCTCTGGATGGGTGATGGTTACGAGTGGATAGTGCTGAATTCAGCTATCATCAGAGCCGGACTAATAGCACTTGCGTTACCAGAATTCCAGTCAACAGACGATATACGATTTACACTAAATCATATGGAGTGTTCTGCTTTATTCGTCGGATTTAGCCAATACGACCAGTACGGTATTTTAAAACAAGTTCTTCCTGATATAGAATCAGACACAATAACATTGTCTAATGTGCCAACATTGCGGAACATCGTATCATTCGATGAGAAATGTCCACTACTCGGGTGCAGCATCGTTACGTCAGCGGCAGAACTACGTGGAAATGGAGGAGCAGCCGAAAATGTATTCCTCGAATATTTGAAAAGAAAAATTACTGCTGACGATACTTACATGATAACCTTAACATCTGGCAGTACTGGGTACCCCAAACCTGTTGTGCGTACACATAGAGGCACTTTAGAAAACGTGTATGCTACAAAATGTCATGCTACATCAAATGACCAAAAAGTGATTAAAATTCTAAAATCATCACCTCTTGCCTCATCTACTGGCTCATACGAAGCTATGCTTTTAGCTTGGGGGGCAACGCTCGTTTCACCCAGACAGACTGAAGATTTCACGGGCGCATTGGAGGCTATCGAAAACGAAGGATGCAATTTCGCGATAATATTTCCCAGTATTCTATTCCAAATTGTGAATCAGAAAAATATAGATAATTTTGATGTTTCGTCAATGCAAAGATGTTGGTGTGTTGGCAATGTTTTCCCGAAACATAGCATGCTAAACATTGTTAAATTATTTTGCCCTAATGTTGTTATAACATATGGTACACGAGAAACTCTGTGTATCAGTATTGGCGAAGTAGCCGATACATTAGATGATCGAATCAGCGGAAAAAGCAAAGTACTTGGTCACTGTGAAGTGAAGGTTGTGGACACATACCAGGGCGTTGTACCCGTTAATACCATCGGGGACATAATGGTGCGTGGACCGTATCTTTTCCAGTGCTACTATGGTGATAAGGAAGCTACAGATAAAGTTAAAGCAGAAAATGGTTGGTATAAAACTGGAGATCGAGGAGAGATGGACGAAAATGGACGGTTGTTTATATTCGGGAGAGGGGATGACATGATCATCAAAGGATCACAAAATGTATTCCCTGTGACAATCACCAATTATCTTGGAGATCATCCGAAATTGAAAGATGCACAAGTCGTTCCCGTTCCCGATGAAAAGTTTCTCAGTGAGATGTGTCTTTGTGTTGTGCTTAAAGAAGGAGTCATTTGTACGGAGGATGAATTGTTGGGATACCTGTCGGGGAAATTGTCGCCATTTCATATGCCCCGCTATGTTCTGTTTTTTGAAAAATTTCCATTTGTCGGTATGAAAGTAAATAGAAAGGTTATTATTAAAGAAGCTATCTCCCGCCTTGGTTTGTCTAAATAAGATTCGGATTCTTGGAGACTTGCAGCCTTAAAATTAGTTGTTTATATGCAGACAGTCTTGGCTTTACACAATTAAAATTTCTGATCTTTATCACAAGAAGGGAAATATTTAAAAAAAAAACAGCAGTTGTATGATGTGATTGGCTCCGGGTTTCCTGTAATGACATGGATCTTCATTGAAAATTATGAACAACTCACCTCTGATGACTGAGGTTGGTATCGTGCAGTTCTGTTGTACTGAACATAAATGGTGACCCTGCAAACAACACGATCGCTTGGTCTTCTTGCAGAGCCTGATTATTTTTGGAGCAGAACATTTTATAACGAAGATTCATACCTGCATAGAATTAATATTTGCCTGTGAAGTATCCCACTTTGTCTGAGCTGGTGTTTTTTTAATCACTTGTCCTTGAATCAGAGTTCTCTGTCAATAGCTTTTTTGGTTTTCTTGACAAGCTTTTTAGTTTCCTTATCGTGTATAGCAACATTTCCGTCTTTCTTTTTAATTCCTTCTGCTTTTTTTTCAATTTGTTATTTTTTGCGATCTAACTGTAAACTGTCATTTTCCAATCTGATGGTCTGTAGCATAGCATGTTGTTCAGAAGATTCCTCTTTCCAACTACTTATTAGTTTCCGAATCTGGGAAAGAATTGGCCTTTTGGGACTTGTAGCTGGTGTGGCGTCCTGAGTGTCATGTGACTTGCTTGAGTTATCTGCGTTTTGCTTGCAATTTCTTCCTGAAGGTCCGATGTATTGCATGAGTGGAATTTGACCATTCTTGCCAAATCATTTTGGATGTTGAGACATTTATGTTGTGTAAAATCAGAATTGTGACTGACGAGAGCATGGAGGAAACAGCAAAATGGCTGACTGATGTTGAATAAGCCCACTGGGGGCGCTGTACAAGAAAACACAAGATATAAATAAAATGAACTCTAGGGGGCGACCTTCTCTAGGAACAAAGCTATCCTCGGGGCGGACATCCGGGCATTTTCAGTCTGGCAACCCTCGCGGTGAAAACAGAAGGCAAAAACTCGCAGAAAACGGTACTTTGGAATGGTTGTTGAGGCTCCCCTGAACAGTGTAACAATATTATCCCTACGTGTGTAACATATATGAATTTGGTTGTTCAGGATTACTTTAGAGTTTGTGTTGTTTTCTCGAATTTTCACCGGCTTGACCGGCGTCTTGTGACCGGCGTCTTGGAACGTCTTGTGACGTAGCTCCGCCCCCGAGGATAGCAAATTAAGCAAAATTACAAATTAATTTATTACAGCATTACCATGTGCAATTTAATAATAATAACAGTTTACATTTGTTTTGTTTGAATGGTTATACAAATTGTTTTTTTGTAGTTTGTTAAATAGTTCATAGGGTTTTGCTTTCTTATTTAGAAAAGAACGTCTGGGAATGTTGATAGTTCGTTCTGTTCACTTGTAGTAATGTCAGTGCGTTTGCTACACAATAAAGCACAATATAAAATATAAAAACTTCTTCTTCTCTTCTTTAAATGCACATGCATGCATAGTGTAAAAATGCCAATTTAATCCAATGAACACAAACTTCGGAAACTATCAAGCTTAAAACTCCCTCACATTATACACAATAAACTTGATGAAGCGATATTAATATTTTCCCACATACGTTCGTGCTTCCCATCTGTATGAGCCATTCAAAGTTTTCAAATATTATTCACACATCAACATCATTATTGTACATGAAACTTTCTATTTGAGACCAGCTTCAACGTGACATTTTATCACAAAGCAAGTTATTTTACATAGTATGAGCTGGACCAATGAAATCGAGAGATCCCGATCGGGTTTATTCAAAATAAACATATTACACATTACGTATATATGTTGAGAAAAAGAATATGTGCGTGCGTGGTATCAAATTTATATATGGAATACCCATTTTACAGTTATTCAAGAATCATAAATTTATTTAGATTTGGTAACTTTTATTTATTTTTCTGTTTCAAGACTATAAATATGTTGTATTTTTGTTTTCCATTCGAGAAGGTTACTATTAAGTATACATTGCGACTTAATCCGCTACAAAGTTGCGACTTCTCTTGCGTTCGCAGTGATAAGAGCGTATTTGTGACCATTACAAAAATGGCTTACATAAACTGATTGGTGTTTCTTTGTAATAGAGATACATGCATTATGAGGTGAAATCAAGCATGAAACGAAAGCTAACTAATACAGAAAACCATTGTCTATCGATACAAACTAAATATAAATGAAAAATAACAATTATAATTAAACAACAAATATGAATGAATCAAAAACACACACGTGGATAATCATCCACGATAAGTTATACCTCACCATAGAGGGCGCAACTGGCACGACGTAATTTCAATCATCGTCAATGAGTATTACGGAAGTACTGGTCACCGAAATTTGATTTATGTAATGGGTATTTTGGCACGTGTTCAATAAAAATGGCAATTGTAAATTATTAAATCCTACAGCCGACATAATGAGGAAATATAAACCGAAGTTTAGTCTAACGCAAGTGAAAGTAGGAAAACGTGCCGGAATAGCATTCATTTATTCATGGAGCCCGACGTCGAAAGAAAGGGATTTTCACTTGTTTTATCGCTTGTGTGTCACTACAATACTTAATAAAGGCGCTTGTAGATTTTGGATTTGTTTCAAATTCGTTACGTTCTTGGGAAATGTCAACATCTATAGCATTTCTGTGTGTATGTTGATAAATATGACCGTGTATTCATCAATGTCGACTTTTTTTAATAAAATATCGAATTGTGCCGCATGCTCGAATATTCGAAGTGAACAGTCCTAGAACCGACGAATGCAACCCCATGACTACCTAGTCGAAATACAATATCATCCGTTGATGGCGCACATGCATTTTTAAAAACTAGACCGTCGAGAAAGTCGCATCATTAATAGTAAGCGAATGACCGACTGCATAGACATATATTCCGGCGTTTCAGTTACTGGTATATATCGTTATTTGGTCCATGTCATTTGTATATATCGTGGTTTGGTCCATGTCATTTGTATATATCGTGGTTTGGTCCATGTCATTTGTATATATCGTGGTTTGGTCCATGTTATTTGTATATATCGTAGTTTGGTCCATGTTATTTGTATATATCGTGGTTTAGTCCATGTCATTCGTATATATTGTGGTTTAGTCCATGTCATTCGTATATATCGTGGTTTCGTCCATGTCATTTGCATGTACAGCTACCGCGAGGTCTGTGGTTCATTTGTCACTCATGACACGAATATTGTCGCCAGTATATTCGCACAGAACAACTTGGCCAATCACGTGCGTCACAGGACTGACTTGAGACTATAAAAACAAAATAAGCTTGTATGGTATTGAGAGAGCGCTGTCTTCAAGGGAGTGTAGTTCGCTCTATTGATATCTGTCAACAGAGAAATGCTCTCACCAAATTTCGTTACGACGCAGAGAACGTGATAATCTTGTGATGTTGTATCTTACGAATAGCATTTGGACACTGTCGAATCCCACGACAGCACCCTGGTGTAATGCAGAAAGCCTGATGAAATAGAACCATGTGTGTTACGACAAGGTTAAGTCATTTTTGATAGGGAATGCATACCTTTCTCGCTCAACAAATGATTCATTACCCATTACGTGTATATCTCAATACTTCGGAAAATACCGCGAATTCAAATCCTGCGACTAAAAGTAAAAAAAAAATACGCATAATGACAAACATAATATAGTACTACGTATTGTTGTGATGGTTTTGTTGCGTGTTGTATATTTCGACCACTGTGAGTCAAGAATGTGTGTCATCATACCGTTGTCATGACGACTTTATGACTGACGATTTGCATCGGGCGAAATCAACATGCAGGAATTGTTTAATAATACAAATGCAGATAAAATATGTACAATGTTGTTATGTTGTCATATTTTATTAATTTCCATTTAATTTCATTTATCCTGCCGCAGGAACATAATTCCGATTGTTTCAAACTAAGACGCGGGTTGCCACATGTCGTATAATTAGAAGAACACGTCCATATGCTCCGGTAGAATAACAAACAATGCACTAGTATCATAAACCATCACCATTTAACCTGGTAACATTTGATATACATACCCACAATCATTGCAAGTACAGATTTCTGATTAAAACTATTGTAGATGCTTGCCTAGGCGATATAGTTCTGTATCATTAAACGGACATGTATAGTTCCCAACGTTAGGAACGGTACGGTGTTATTGTTGAGACTAGTCATTCTTTAATTTAGGTATCGAATATAGCTGTACCGTACATGGTTGATACATCGCCATACCACGCAATAAACAGTAAGTCACATGGCAGCACACTATAATCCACGTAGTAAACGTTGAACTTCATTGTAAACTCGGCATTCATTAACTATTGATGAAATGCATGTATAATTTCAATTACAACACGGGCTCCCGGTAGCTATAAAATAATCTTACGAATCATACTCCCGTTATGTTGACAAATATGCACCACGAGGGGTTCACTTATTAATAACATGGGAGTTTTGTACAATCGGGACTAATTATTTGACAAAATGCTGGTAATCAGTTCGGTCGATGACATTTTTCTGAACTCACTACGATTAGACACAATATAAGTAAAACTACAGAGGACAAGATTGTATATGGCATCTTAGAGCTGCAGAATATCGGCTTTACGGTTCATATGAGGTATCCAAGAGAGAGTCGGACCATTTAACGTGCTGTATCCTTGACGATAAAGCTTGTATTATCGTAGAGTAGTAGTTCAATCATTCTGCAAGATGTGAATTATTCATTCATTGATAGTAAACTGTATTTTATTAGCAAAAACAACTGGCGCTAAAATGTTGTGTGTCTGTATGTCTTATTTGTTTGTTATATTCAGCTACAGTCAAATAGCCCACGCGGACATTTCACCTAATGATTATATCCTTCCGCGTCAATATCGGAGGAGGCATGTTCGATTGCTGGAACAGTAGCTTTCAT